TTGTGTATTCCATCTGGCAAGGTTCACATGTTTCGCCACCATTTATGTTGTTGAAAAATGTATTTGTGATGAATAAGTCATTGGTTTTGAAAAATTCTGTGATGCAATCTCCAGTATCATTTCTATCATCAAGGCCATGTTTCCCAACTACTGATAAAGTTCTTTGTTTCCAATTTTCACATTCCAATCACTAATATTTATCAGTACATCCTGAAAGAATGTTTGATCAATTTCAGACTGCAGAAATTGGTAAAAATCTTCAATTTCTTCATTTTTGGCTTTAGTACTTGGTGCATAAATTTCAATAATGGCAGTATTAACTGGTCTTCCTTGTAGGCATATGGATATTATCCTATCACTGACAGCACTGTACTGCAAGATTGACCTTGAGATGTTCTTTTTGGCAATGAATATGACACCATTCTGCTTCAATTTATCATTACCAAATAGCAGAATTTATGATTATCTGATTCAAAATGGCCAACACCAGGTCATTTCAGCTCACTAATGCCTAGGATATTGATCTTTATCTATTCCATTTTGTTTTTAACAACTTCCAAATTTCCTAGATTCATACTTCATATGTTCCATGTTCCGATTATTAATGAATGCTTGCAGCTGTTTCTTCCCATTTTGAGTCATGCACATCAACAAATGAAGATCCTGAAAGATTTACTCTACCCATGTCATAAAGATCAACTCTACTTTGGGGAGACAGTTCTTCCCTGGTAGTATTTTGAGTGTCTTTCGACCTGAGGGGCTCATCTTCATGCACTATATGAGACAACATTTCACAGCTTTTCATACAGTTCTCTGGTAATATATCAATGTTTCACTACTGTTCATATGGTGTTTAGTGCCCAGTTTTTTCAGAAATGACTAGCCCTGTCCTTCTTTCCAATCTATCTTCATCTGGAAGCTTCACTGAAACCTGTCCACCATGGGTGACCCTGCTGGTATTTGAAATACTGGTGGCATAGCCTCCAGCCTCTCAGCAACACACAAGCCACCACAGTACAACAAACTGACAGGAATCTAGTCACCAATCATGGAGCAATTGGGAAGTCTCTACTCAATATTATATTTATAGAAATCTCTTTGACCCACAGCAATGAGGTGCATCTCCAAAGTGACAAGAGAGAGATGGAGACAGAGAGGGGAATGTCAGGAATGGCCCGACAGGAGAGGCTAAAGAAATTGTGAAAGTCTCTTCCTTCTTTGGAGGTTAAAGAGCTCGACTGCTAACTGAAAGGCTGGACTTCAGATACATCAAAAGGTGCATTGGAAGAAAGGCCTGGGGGTTTACTTCTGAAAAATCATCCATTGAAAACCGTATGGAGCACACAATTCTACACACATGGGCTCACCATCAATTGATATAATTCATATTGAAGGCTATAGTCTTTGATCTTCATCAGTAAATGCTTCAACTCCTCTTCACTTTCAGCTAGCAAGGTTGTGTCATCTGCATATCACAGGTTATTAACAAGTCTTCCTCCTATCCTGATGCTACATTCATCTTCATATAGTTCAGCTTCTCAGATTATTTGCTCAGCATACAGATTGAATAAATATGGTGAAAGGATAAAACCCTGACATACACAGTTCCTGATTTTAAACTAGTCAGTATCTTCTTGTTCTATTTGAATGACAGTCTCCTGGTCTATGTACAGGTTCCTTATGAGCACAATTAAGTGTTCTGGAATTCCCATTCTTTGCAGTGTCATCCATAATTTGTTATGATCCACACAATTGCATGCCTTGGCATGGTCAATAAAACACAGGTAAACATCTTTCTTGCTTTGAGCCAAGATCCATCTGACACTGGCAATGATATCCCTCATTCCATGTGTTCTCTTCTGAATCTGTCTTGAATTTCCAGCAACTCCCTGTCAATACACTGCTGCAACCACTTTTGAATTGTCTTCTGCAAAATTTTACTTTCATGTGACATTAATGATACTGTTCAATAATTTCTACATTTTGTTGGATTTTATTCCTTTGGAGTGGGCACAAATATGAATCTCTTCCAGTCTGTTGGCCAGATAACTGTCTTCCAAATTTCTTGGCATAAACGAGTGAGCAACTCCAGCACAGCATCTGTTTATTGAAACATCTCAGTGGGTATTCTATCAATTCTTGGAGCCTTGTTTTTTGCAAATTCCTTCAATGCAGCTTGGACCTCTTCCTTCAGTACCATTGGTTCTTGATCATATCTTATTCCCTGAAATAGTTGAACATTGATCAATTCTTTTTGGTATAGTAACCCTTTGCATTCCTTCTGTCTTCTTTTAATTCGTACTACATCTTTCATTATCACAACTTGAGGCTTAATTTTTTCTTCAGTTCTTTCAGCTTGAGAAATGCCGAGCATGTTCTTCCCTTTTGGTTTTCTAACTCCAGGTCTTTGCACATTTCGTTATAATACTTTACTTTGTCTTTCAGAGTTGCTGTTTGAAATCTTCTGTTCTGTTCTTTTATTTCATTTCCTCCATTTGCTTTAGCTATTCTCTGTCCAAGAGCAAGTTTCAGAGTCTCACCTGACATTCATTTTGGTCTTTCTTTTCTTTCCTGTCTTTTAAATGACCTTTTGTTTTCTTCATATGTGGTGTTTTCAATGTCATCCCACAACTTGTCTGGTCTTTGGTCAATTTCAGACTGCAGAAGTTGGTAAAAGTCTTCAATTTCTTCATCTTTGGCTTTAGTGGTTGGTGCTTAAATGTGAATGATAGTGGTATTAACTGATCTTCCTTGTAGGTGTATGGATATTATCTTATCACTGACAGCATTGTACTTCAGGATAGATCTTGAAACGTTCTTTTTGATAATGAATATGACACCATTCCTCTTCAATTTGTCATTCACGGCATAATGGAGCATATGATTGATTCAAAATAGCCAATACTAGTGTATTTCAGGAGCTCTGGTAGCATAGTGCCTAAGGCACTTGACTGCTAGCCAGAAGGCTTGCGGTTCAAACCCACCAGCCACTCCTCAGAAGGAAGGTTGGGCAATCCTACTTCTGTAGTGATATTGCCTCAGAAACCCAAGGAGGGGTTGCTATGAGTCGGGGCCGACTCGATGGCACATAACAACAACAGTGTATTTCAGTTCATAAATGTCTAAGATATTGATCTTTATGCATTCCATTTCATTTTTGACAACTTCCAAGATTCCTAGATTCATATTTCATACATTACACATTATGTTTATTAATGAATGTTTGCAGCTATTTCTCCTCATTTTGAGTCAAGTCCCACCAGCAAATGAAGGTCCTGAAAGCTTTAGTCTATGCAGGTATATGTGTATCCCAGGAACACACAGGCCACCACCATATGACAAACTGACAGATAAATGGTGACCATAAAGATTTACAGCCTAGGAAACCCTATAGGGCAGCTCTACTTTGTCCTATAGGGTCATTATGAGTTGAGACTAATTTGATGGCAGTGGGTTTAGTTGGGTTTTGCTTTTACTGTGGATTCTTCTTCCTGGCATCACCTTCAGGACAAACACATACTTGGTCACTCAGCAGAGCAGAATCCTAGGCCTAAGTTCAACAAGGGATGCCTCTACCCTGGCATCCAGACAACTACTTCCAGCACTGAGGCCCTAAGTCAGTCTAATGTTCCCTCCTCTCTGGTCTTTCAGCTCCCACAACTGAGAGAAACACTCCTCTGATGCATCTGTCCAACATTCTCAAGAGTGAAATCATTTTAGCAACTGGCCAAGCCCCCACCTCTAGCCCTGATGCACCATTCACCATGGACATGACCCTGCTCACACCTGGACTCCTCACCTTGACCAGGCTCTTTCCCTCCACTGCCCCACGGACCATTAGACCAACCTCCATGGCAGGCCACAGCTTCACCAGAAGCACCACCACCATGGTGCGCAGGAGGACCATAATGTCCCGGACAGTGACTGAGTCTACCATCAGTGCCCAGGCATCCTCTCCTGGCCCAGCACCCATCTCCACCAAGTCTGGGTCCCCAAGCACCAGATCACCCACCACAAGAATATGTCACACCAGCAAATCTGTTCTCAACAAATTATCCCCCATCAGGTACTGGGGGGTCTGGGGCTGGATGACCCTTTCCCAGATATGGCAATAACTCTTGGTGCTTGAATAGACCACAAGGTGCAAATCTTATATCAGACCTGCCCTTCACTCCCCAGAAACTCACCTGGGGCTGTTGCTGAATGGGAGGGAGGATGAGAGGTAGGAAATGGGAAGGTGGGATGGAGAGTGTGACGTAAGGGATGGAGGAGGACATGAAGGCAGCAAATGGGATCACCTTGAAGACTCTGGGAATGGAGAGGGGAGAGGACCAGGATCAGACTGAAGAAATGGGAAATGAACTACTTACCTTTGAATTTTCTGATTCATGGCAACCCCATGTGTGTCAGAGTATAACTGGGTTTTCAGTGGCCAGGCATTTCTTCCAAGGTGTCTTTGGGTAGACTCTAACCACCAGGCCTTTGGTTAGTAGCCTAGTGTGTTAACTGTTTGTACCACTAGGAGATACTTTAATTTCGGTTCGCCCAGAAACAGATCCTGAGGCAACGATTTGTGTGTATGTTGCTTACATGGGAGGGGAGAACACTGGAAAGAGGGTGGAGAAGTGAGACAGGAGGCAGCCAACAGAGTGTTTAATCCAGCTGTCACAACTGTGGGCAAGATAAGCCAAATCCCATTTAGGAAACTCTGGGATCTAGTGTTGAATACCACCTCAGAGGTGTTACCCCTAAAGGACAAGGGAGCTTGGGTATTGACACACCAACTCTTGTTGGTCATTGGTGGAGGACTACCTGCTATGTGGGTAGCAAAGAGAGCTCCAATGACAAGGGAAAGACCTCAAGCCAAACACAAAAGGAGGTACAGGGGAGCAGTGTGTGCTGAAGTGATAAAGTGATACGGGCAAGAGGATGCGGGGAGAGCACTCACAGCATTCACTACAGAGGCCAGAGGTGGGAAGAGGTAGCCTCAGTACCAGTGAGGAGAATAAGGACCTTGATTTCTTCAACCACAAACAGGGGTCTCTAGAATACTTGTTCTCACCCATGAGCAGATTAGAGGGCATAATGGAGGGGAGCAGCTGAGGTGGAGAGGTGCTCTCCTCTGCCAGGGGACTATGAGGACAAGAAAGGCCTTTGCTCCGAAGACTCTCTGGAATTGTCCCTGGGTCATTTCTGACTGACTTCTTCCTCTGAGCTCTGAGAGCCTCATTTCCTTCCTCCACAGCTGGGTCCCAGGAAAGAGAGGCCATCTCCCCTAGGAGGCAAATGCTATCAGGGTGTCTGATATTCTGGGTGGCATAGATCAGGTCAGGGAGGGGCTGAGGCTCACCTCCTGCCATTCTCCCATCTCCTCAGGCACCAGAACTCTGATCTCACTGTGCTTGCAGTAGTGCTGGCTTTTCTCCCCATCCCTGTGCTGGTGGTCATCTATGGACTTTGGAAGAGGAGACACATGGGCAGTGAGTAGAGTTCCCCTCCAAGCTGGAGTGCAGAGCACTGGGGCTTGACACAATGTATCTGTGACATCGAGTTCCCAAACAATGTATCCCTCAACTTGTGTCCAGTCGAGGACCATGAGGGTACCCAGAAGGGAGGAGGGAAGGCACGCAGGAACAGTCCCAAGAGATGGCCTGGCAGAAGCCATAGGGCTGGACCAGGAGCACTGGGAACTTTGAACAGGAGACTGTCCTTTTTTATTTCTCTCCCTGTCCCATAGGCTACAGCTTGTATGATGGTCCTGCTAGAGCCTGGAGGGACACACCCAGACCAGAGCCCCCATGGAAGCTGACTTGGTCTGAGACCACCTAACTGTGGAGAGGGGGCACTTCTTCCAGAGGGGCCTCAGGAGTCCAGAGGAGGAGTGAAGATAAGGACCCATCTGGACTGGAGTGAGGCTAGGGCATGAAGACGTGTGTGATGCTGAAACTAGGCATTCCCAGAAACACACTGCAGTCTGCCTGTGCCTAGGGCCAGAAGCCTAGCCTGCTCCATGGTGAACTCTCCTGGGCTTTGAGTGCTTTCCTGGGCTGCCAGGAATCTGGGAGGGGACCAGAGCAGGGCTCAGGCAGGAAGTCCTGGGAAAAGCCACCCAGAGGATCCTGCTCAGAGATGCAGACCCCAGCCCTAGCTGGACAGCAGAGAAACCTGAGAGTTCAGTTTTGCAGGTAGACTCTGAGCTCCATCTGCCCAAGAACCCCTTACTATCAATCTAAGGGGAGGGAAAGGTGGATAGTTAGAGCTGCCCTCTTGCCACCTGGAACCACTGTGTCATAAGTCCCCCCTCCAGCTGCTCTGTAAGCTTAGGGAAGAAAGCGTTGGGACTATAAGCCCCTAAAGCAGGGATGCTATAAGCCCTGCCCTGGAGACAGAACAGACTAGGCACTGGCAGCAAGGGATCCCAGAGCTGTCCAGGCCTCTCCCTGGGCCATGTGTACTCTGTGCTCTCACCTGCCTGGGGCTGACTGTCTCTCATCTCCTGGAAGCCCACCCTCCCACTGTTGCCACCTGCTCATGGCCCCTCCTGGGAAAACCCCCAAGGTGCAGGGCCAGCACCTTCCCAGACTGGGATGCAGAGGCTGAATTTGGGGCTCACTCTTACCCAATTTCCACACCTGGGATCCAGGTTTGAGCTCCTGGAGGGGACTGAGACCCTCAGCAGAGCCCAAACCAAGGGGCACCTGAGATCCTGGATCTGTGTGTGTGTGTGTGTGTGTGTGTGTGGTGGGGGGGTGTTTCACCTTGCAGACATTGGTGGGAAGAAAGAGTGCATGTCCTCCCCATCTGTGGGTTCACTGTCACCTGGGGAGGGAGGACCCACTTTTGACACAACAGAGACAACTAAGAGCGAGCCACAGCCTGGAGGGCAGGGAGAATGGAGTCCAAGTAGCCTCTGATATAAGGCCCAATGGAGAGAAATCTGTCTGCTGCACCACCGACCCATGGCTTATACTCTACATCTAATGCCCAGACCACTGGTCCAATGTTCAGTGGTGAAGGCTGGAGAATATGGACAGGGTTCTTCCACTGGAGAGTGGTGCTCCCCAGCCTGAGCAACTGAACAAGCACCTGGAATAGAGATGACATTTCTACTACCAGGCCTGGGTCAGGGAGCTCCCAGATGGGAGAGTGGACATCATGGCTGGAAGAATGACCCAGTCGGGGCCTCGGTGGGTAGCCGGCAGGGACTATTCCAGGATGGAAGTGTGGCCTGAGGAAGGGGTCCTGGGAATAGCAGAGAGAAGGCATTTCTTCCCTCTGTCCAGGAGAGGGCAGTAGAGGGAAGAAGTAAATTGAGGGAATAACAGATCTGGTCCCAGGACACACACACACACACACACACACACACACACACACACACACACGGTGAGACCTGTCTCCACCAGCAAACAACCTACGGAGGAGCCATCCTCCCCATCAGGAGGGCGTGGCCATCACCTTTGTATGTAGCTTGGAGGGGGTACTTAGCTAAGCAGGGACGCTCCACTTTGTTGTGATCCTCTGGCTGCATCTTGGGCAGCCTGTGTTGCCTTTGGGCGAGATGTCCAGTGGGAGAATCCTGAAGTGGGCCAGGGACTGGGATCCAGTGATGCATCTGTTACTGTGTGACCCTGAGGAAGTCTCTAACCCTATCTGGGCTTCATTTTTCCTCTCTGTGAAAGGGTACAATAATTCCTACCTCTCAAGATTGTTGTCAGGGTAAAATAAAATAACGTGAGAATTGTGCAAATAAGTAAATGCCTCAATATTGTTCTTCAAATTCATTTCCAGTTCTAGTATTCTGTTTTCCACATGCTACATTTAGTCCCTTGGGATCCTATTCTCCTGATTTGTCTTCTCTCTTCCCATGTTTCTTTCTCTCTGCATCAATGTTGGAGGTCCACAACTGAAGCCGAGTTGAATTATAGTTCAATTTCCCATTCTTTCTATGACTATCTCCCACCCTGGTTGGAGACAGATAAACAAGCATGATAACACCTTTCCTTAAAAGCTGAGTTAAATGGAAGCTCAATTCCCCACCCTTTTTATAATCACCCCCCACCCTAGTTAAAAACAAATGAATAGGCATGATAATGCATTTCCTTAAAGCTGTGTTTCAGAAACAACCCATGCTAATTTGAAATTGGTTAAAACTGCCTCAGATCAGTTTTGGCCTGCAGACATTCCCAGTGAAACAAACTGGAATGAAGACGCTGGGAACTGACATTTCACCCTGTACCTAAGCCCGAATCAGCTGATGTGAGGAAGTCCGTGTAACCCATCCCATGCGTCAACGCACTGAAAGAAAAATCCACATCCCTATAAATCGAGGGGAAGGAAGCCTCAGCCAATCCCCACCTAATTTACACCCAAATTGCTGAATTTTTTATGAATATGTGTAAGCCCCTTTCCTGAACTGTACAAAAACTGTGCCTCAACCCTAACTCAGGGAGTCAGATTTGGGTACTGGCCCCTGTCTTCTTGCATTGCTGCTTTGCAGTAAATAATTTTCTCTCCTCTTAATCACTCCTCGGAAGGAAGGTTGGGCAATCTACTTCCATAGTGATACTGCCTCAGAAACCGAAGGAGGGGTTGCTATGAGTCGGGTCCGACTTGACAGCACATAACAACAACAACAACAATCACTCCGTGTGTGTGAACTAATTCGGCCTAATTGCTCACCGGGCAGGAACTCACGTTTAGTCCGCTTTTATAACTGCAGCCCCTTTTAGAAAGCCCTATTGTAAGGAGAGTAGCATAGTGGCTAAAGCACTTGACTGCTAACCAGAAGGCTGGCGGTTCAAACCCACCGGCCACTCCTCGGAAGGAAGGTTGGGCAATCCTACTTCCGTAGTGATACTGCCTCGGAAACCCAAGGAGGGGTCACTATGAGTCGGGGCCGACTCGACGGCACATAACAACAACAACAACATTGTAAGGAGGGCCAGGGGTGGGTAAGGCAATGCCCTTGAAATCAAGGTCTGGGCTCAGATTCTCAGCTCAGTTCCTCATCTTTGTGTGACTTCTCTGAACCTGTTTTCTCCATGGCAAAGGAGGATGGAGGTGAGCTCTGAAGCCCTTCCCATAATCACTTTCTTAGGTGACAGGATGTACACACGGTCATGTGGGGCAGGACAAGCAGACCTCACACCCATGGGACACGCACACTTCCACGTGGGTCAGCCAATGAGCATGATGTTTACCATTCTCCTAAATGGCTGCAAACAGCATCTTTTACTCTGGACCAACAGGAGTGTGGTGGGTTATGTGCTTAGCTGCTTGGGGTGGTTGATTGACTCAGGGATGATGGACTTCTTTTTTAAAGAATTAAATACTTTTCTAAATTTTGTTTTATTTCTTTATAAAATCTTATCAGAAGTAGTGCAAATAGTGGTTATCTTTTCATCATATAATTTGTGATATGGAGCAAGTAGAGCTCTGGTAGCATAGTGCCTAAAGCACTTGACTGCTAACCAGAAGGCTGGCGGTTCAAACCCACCAGCCACTCCTCGGAAGGAAGGTTGGACATTTCTACTTCCGTAGTGATACTGCCTCGGAAATCCAAGGAGGGGTCGCTATGAGTCGGGGCCGACTCGATGGCAAATAACAACAACAACAACTAGCATATTGTCATATACCTTTTGAAGTCTGGATCAGTGTTCAAAATTTTATCCTTTTTTCACTTTCAATGTTGTAAAATATCTCCACAAATTTATTTAATGTGAAATTGTTCACCAGCATTACTTCTAGGATATCTTGATGTATCCTTTTTGTTACAACCACTTGTCTCATTTATGTCAATAAGCTCACCTTCACTAAAGTGATTGATTTTTTTTTTTTGACATTTTTCTAAGATAAAATTCATTGAAAGAATTAAGTTTGGGATAACTTTATCTCCATATCTTCCTAAAGCTAAACCATTAACCCACTGTGGTTGAGTGGATTCCAACTCAGTATAGGATGGCCCCTATGTTACCAAGTAGAACTGCTCCATAGGGTTTTCTTGGTTGTAATTTTTTTTTTTTTAAATTTTTACTGTGATTTAGGTGAAAGTTTGCAGAGCAAATTCATTTTCTATACAGCAGCTTATCCACATTTTGTTTCATGACATTGACTGCAATTCCCCACAATGTAACAGCTCTCTTCCCACTTCCTCCTGTAGTTACCTCTTCCCTGTATCCTTCCCTCCCATGCACTCTCGTCCCCACCCCCCCACACCCTCAGCTATCTTCTTGTGCAAACACTGCCCTTCTGTTCTCCCACGACTGATTGATCACTCCAAAGAGTGTATCTACCTGATGTAAATGTTTACCCCATTTGCCTGTCTATTGTTTGGCTGGAAGCCACAGGAATGAGTTCAGTTCCAGACTTAAAGGTTAACTAGGGGCCATAGTCTCAGGAGTCTCACCAGGCTCTACCAGACCAGCAAACCAGGTCTTTTTTTTTTTTTATGATTTTGAGTTTTGTTCCACATTGTTCTCCC